CATTTTCTGCTATTTGCCACATACTATTCACTAATTGTCACCTGGTATCCACTATTCACTATGCGCTTTCATTCTCTGCTATTTGATACATGTTATCTGTTGAATTTTGACTGCTATACTAGACAATCCCTTAATATTATTAATGTACTTCCTTTGGTTAGATTTAGTTGTCTTATTTTGACTTTTATGTAGAGTTTAACCTAATGATTTTATATAGTAAATAAATGATAATTAATTTTTTTATTTGAGTGAAAATACCAAATAAGTACTACATATATAAAAAAAATTTTAATTGTCATCTACTTACCATATAAAATTATCTGGTCAAATTTTATGTAAAATTCAAGTTAAAATAACTAGATTTCACTTGAGGGAGTAATATATTGTAATCATGTGATGTTAATGGGCAAAACCTCATCTTAAGCCCCTAGACTTACCCCAAATTAACATGTGAGTTCCTTAACTTAAAATAGTGTAAATAGGCTGTCAAATGATGTAAATTAACCCTCAAACCCCTTGAAAGATGCAAATCAATCTTCATCGTTAACAAGTCAACACTTGTGACCTCATGCCATTAGTTTTTTTTCCTTCGCTTAATCCCACTTTTCCACGTGGATGCTGACATAGGTCAAAATACCTCTTGAGTAGTAAAAATTTGGCCAAAATAGTTCACATGGTTTGAAAACACTAAATAAAAAAGGGTCATGTGAGCCATTTTGTCAAGATTTTTACCACCTAATGGGTCTTTTGATCCTTGTCAACATCCATGTGGAAAACTGGAATTAAGTGAAAGAAAAAAAATAAATAGTGTGAGGTCAAATGTGCTGGCCCATTAATGATGAGGACTAATTTGTATCTTTTGAAGGGTTTAAAGGTTAATTTGCATCATTAAAAGGGTTTAAGGGCTTATTTACACCATTTTCAGTTCAAGAGCTAACACGTTAATTCAGGGTAAGTTTGAAGTTTTAAGAGGGGATTTTGCCATGTTAATTTGTCTACATTTTAAGAAGGTAATATACAACATATTCTAGAAATTTTTTTTTATTTTTTTTAACTCTAACATGACTTGGCAACAAATTGAAATCCTTTGAATTTATCTCTTTTAGGCTAGGGAGGAAAATGGGATTATTATTATTATTATTATTATTATTAGCAACAAATAGTATATGTTAGTCTTAATTTTTTTTTAAAAGAGTTTTTGCCTTAAACAACTTGGTTTTATTTAATTAAAATTCGATTTAAAATTTAAAAATTTATCTTATTAAATGTTAATATTTAAGTACATTTAGAAATTAAAAATTTAATTTAAAATTTAGAAATCTATCTTATTAAATGTTAATACCAACTACATTCTAAATATAAAAAGTTAGAAAGAGTAAAAAATGTGCATTATTAAATAGTACAAGCCAGAAATCCAACTAGATATAAAAAGTCAAAATTCTACCTTATTAAATAGTACATATATCAATGTCTAAATGTAAGTATTAATATTTAATAAGATAAATTTTAAAATTTTAAAATTTAAATTAAATTTTAACTAAATAAAATGATGTAATTTAAAATAAAAACTTCAATTCTTTTAGAGTTAGAATTGATATGTAATAAATTTAGTAGTTACTGAACACACACTTTTAATGGTGGGCCTTTATTCGGTGAAACCACTTAAATCGGCATGTGCTTTGTTTCTATTCATTCATCTTTGGAAGCACTTTGGACCAAGAGAAAAAAAAGGAAAAAAACCGCTAATCCATGTATAAATACAACATGATGGTGATGGATGCCTAACTGCCTTTCAAAGCAACTCTACGGATATGTGGGTTATTCAATGAGTCCCAAATGAGCGTACGTAAAGTCATTCTTTAAAATTAAGTCAAGCAAATATCAATAAGGCTCTTATTAGAAAAAAAAAAAAAAAAACACTAAAAGAAAAAAAAGTTCAAGCAATTAAGGCTATGTTCCATGAAAGTTAACTAAATCATACTCTCTGTTAAAGGGCGCCACAAATCTAAAAGACAATATTTATTCAATCGATATCTGCAAATTTAATTTAGCTCTATCAGTACAATAACATAGACGACCATCATAACATAGGAAACTAAATACCCCCCGGCTAGAAGTATCCCGACAATTAAAAGAGGGCTTTAATTTTTAAGTATAGAAAATTTCAAATTCAAATTTATGAAGAAGGTAGGAGAATTTGAAAAAGGATTAATTTATTGACAATTGCATACCAAGATTATAGCTCCTCGTTGATGTGTAAATAGTATTCAAATATTAAATGTCACTCAGTTTGCCACTGAGATCTTCTGACCCAGGTAGAATTATCCCAACTGAGAAATAATCCATTCTCCTTAACAAGCCAAAACACCGTCCCACGTCCGGTGTCTCTCTTGGGTTGAAAAGCATGCCAAGAGGCGAAATACCTGACACCCCACATGGCTTCACAGTAATACAAAGCCCTCTGTAATTCTACACTCCAAACATAATTATCCCCAGCACCCATTGCATGGTAGCCGAGATCACCACCTCTAGAACTGCATCGAACTTGAATTGCTTCCGAGTTCCTGGCCATGCCGTTTATGATGTGAACAGTCGCGGCCGCAGTGTCATTCTTTTGTTTATGTTCTTCAAGTGCTGTTGAAGCGCTCAAGAAGAAGAATACAACAAGAAAGAAAACAAGGTAATTGTGTGCCGTACTCATTGTGTCTTCAAGATTGTGTGCGTAAGACAAATCTTTTCGTACCTTTTATAGTTGAAAAAGTAGGCAGAACCCCTGAAGGAATCAATAATGGAGTATACATATATATGCTCGTGAATCACGGTTGGGAAAAAAAATCAAAAGATTTAATTAAGTAATCAGATAATAAATTAGTACAAGACTAGCAGTGCTCGCAGCCTTGGTAGTGCACCTTAAAATCCATGGACCATGGTCCGATTGTGTGTTCGGCCGTTTCTTTCCCATGAAGTCGTCCATTGCACAATCAATTACCCCTTGATTTACATGTAAAGAATTGTAACACAATTGACAAAAAAAAGTTTATTTTCTATCTTATTCAATAGGGTTTAATTTCTTAATGAGATTAATCAATAACAACATATACTTAGTAATTTTTTTATAAATTCTTTAATTGTCTATCTTTAATTGATTGATTGGGAATCAGTTATTCAAATGCAATTGAACACTCTTTGGTTTAGTTTCTAAGGCTCGCGCTATGATAGTTTTTTTTTTAATTAAAAATATAATATATTAAGGAATTGAAGAAAATTAATATATATTGATATTTAAAATATAAAAAATGGTAATAAAAATATTAAAATATTTTTAATAAATTAACACATAAATCAATTTATTAAAAATATTTAAATAATTTTATAAAAAAATCCTAATAATTAATTATTCTAATTTTTATTTTTTTTCATATATTAATTTAAATTAATAAAATTTAAAATTATATTTATAGATAACAGCACTCCTAATGGAACCGTTCATCTTTCCTTGAAATACCAATATCTCACATTGCTTAACAGTTAAAAACCCTGCACACTGCACAGGCAATAAAAAGGTACCAATCCCAATAGAAATTGTTGAATTCAGCTGTAGTACTTATTTATTTATTTATTTATTTATTTATTTATTTTGGGTAGTATTTAGCTGTAGTGCTTACCTCACACTAGACCGAAAAAATCAAATCCCTGAAATTAATGATATCGGTGTTGTTGGTGGTGCCGTCCCTTTAGCGTAACTTTATGATTAAAGCTAGCACATGGTTGGGGTTTCGTCTTTGGTAGTCTCCCAATTTCTAAGGGATCACGCAGACACAGCACAGGGCTCGATTTTGGCAGTGTTTAACTTTTTTTTTTTTTAAAGCATTATAATGTGATGGGCCATGACTAAGATCAATTATTTTCTAAGTTTTTGAATTTATAATGTATTCTCCTTATCTTGCAAATGAAAAAAGAGAAAGGTAATACCGTATATTAGGGCGCATTATATTAGCCTTGTATCATAGTGTTCCTTTACTCCTTTGTCTCTATCAATCAATAATAACGGTTTAATTGGTCAGAGAATAATTAGTTGAGTGGCTTAACGATTAAGAGAATAAGAGGTGGGTGGAGAAAAGATGTAAATAAGGATATTAATTTTATATATTTTTTTATTTAAAAATGTTAATTATATTATTTTTTAAATAAAGATATCAATTTTTAATAAGGATATTAATTTTATATATTTTTTTATTTAAAAATGTTAATTATATTATTTTTTAAATAAAGATATCAATTTTT